CACACACACACACACACACACACACACACACACACACACACACACACCACTTTATTAGGCACACCTGTTCAATTGCTTGTTAACACAAATAGCGAATCAGCCAATCACATGGCAGCAGCTCAATGCATTTAGGCCTCTAGACGTGGTGAAGACGACTTGCTGAAGTTCAAAGTGAGCATCAGGAGACTTTGAACGTGGCATGGTTGTTGGGGACAGACGGGCTGGTTGGAGTATTTCAAAAACTGCTGACGGTTCGGGCTGCTGGTGTAATGGTGGGGGGGATATTTTCTCGGCACACTTTGGGCCTCTCAGTACCAATTGAGCATTGTTTAAACGCCACGGCCTACCTGAGTATTGTTGCTGACCGTGTTCATCCCTTTATGAGCACAGTGGACCATCTTCTGATGCTACCTCCAGCAGGATAGTGCACCATGTCACAAAGCTCAAAGCATCTCAAACTGCTTTCTTGAACATGACGAGCTCACTGTACTCCAACGGCCTCCACAGCCACCACACCTCAATCCAACAGATAGAGAGATTCTCATCATGGATGGGCAGCCGACAAATCTGCAGCAACTGCGTGATGCTATCATGTCAATATGGAGCAAAATGTGTGAGGAATGTTTCCAACACCTTGTTGAATCTCTGCTACGAAGAATTAAGGCAGTTCTGAAGACAAAAGGGTCCAACCCGGTACTAGCGAGGTGTAACTAATAAAGTGGCCGGTGAGTGTATTTAAGAACCAGAGGTGATGAGAAGAAGACTCACTGTGTGGTTGTTCAACATGAACTGCACCGCGCTGAGTTTCACCAGCTTCCTCACGCTGCTGTACGTGGAACAGGAAGTCAAGGAGCAAACAGGAAGTCAAGGAGGAAATGGACAGATCAGGAAGTCATGGAGGAAACGGACAGAAACAGGAGGTCATGGAGGAAACAGGAGGTCATGGAGGAAACGGACGGAAACAGGAGGTCATGGAGGAAACGGACGGAAACAGGAGGTCATGGAGGAAACGGACGGAAACAGGAGGTCATGGAGGAAATAAACAGAAACAGGAAGTCAGAGGAAATGAACAGAAACAGGAAGTCAGAGGAAATGAACAGAAACAGGAAGTCATAGAGGAAATGGACAGAAACAGGAGGTCATAGAGGAAATGGACAGAAACAGGAGGTCATGGAGAAAATGGACAGAAACAGGAGGTCATGGAGAAAATGGACAGAAACAGACGGAAACAGGAGGTCATGGAGGAAATGGACAGAAACAGGAGGTCATGGAGGAAATGGACGGAAACAGGAAGTCAAGGAGGAAATGGACGGAAACAGGAAGTCAAGGAGCAAACGGACAGCAACAGGAAGTCATGGAGTAAACGGACAGCAACAGGAAGTCATGGAGTAAACGGACAGCAACAGGAAGTCATGGAGGAAATAGGAAATCATTACAGAGGACATTTCATATTTTAAAGTCCCGTTTCCTCTCAGACCTACAGACTCATGAGGGATGTAGATCTGCAGCACACTATTAGTTGTGTGTGTGTGTGTGAATGTGTGTGTGTTCAGGTGAACAGTGGTCTAAAGGATATCCTAACGAGAGGTCGTTCAGTAGTTGGAGGGTCTTGGAGGTGATCGGTTCACACTGGCCCCAGTACTTCAGGTTTGTGATGCTGAAAGAGACAAAAGGTTGTTTAGGATCCCACACACAGAATGTATCATAAAGAAGAGACTTCCTGTTTAAATTACAGGTTAGAATGATTAGTGATAAACATTTAAATCATGTTTATTACTCACATTTTCCCTATAAAGACACTGAGGACCATCGTCTCGTCATTCAACCCCAGAACTTCTGATAGTCGTCGATAAAGCTGCAAATAAAACACATTGATACTTTCATGAGCTCTAGAGATGCACTGGTTTAGTTTTTTTGTCCATTAAACCTGTAAACTTATATTTGTGTTTTCTCCCCCAGACTTTGATTAGTAAATGACCTTCACAGCTGTTTATCATGGATCAATAGCATCACGTTGTAGTTCCGTGACGTGACTCGTGTTTTTATAGTGATTCAGTAAATCCAGAGGAGCTTTAGTGATCATCGGAGGGACAGAGTGAAGTGAAGCATGAGGAGGTCTGTAGGAGACAAAGAGGCCCCCTGCTCTAGAGAACTGAGGGGGTTAAGCTGACAGGAAGTAGGGCCCAGACCTCCAGTACTGTGTTTCCAGTGATTCACTTCTCTAAAGGAACTCAGAAAGACTTAACCTGTAAGCTGGAGCTTCCATCACCTTAAAGAACCTTTGTGGTTTTAGGTTCTGCTTTGTGTTTCCTCTGTGTTTTACAACCTGGAGGTTTCATGTTTGTGTTTGGTAGATGAGAAGCTGTGGTCGACTCGGAGAACCAGAACCATCAAAACAACCTGAAAGTCTGAGACTGGTCTGGTCTCCTGATCGTTAACCAAAAACGAATCATCAGAGCTGAAGAAAAAAGCAGGACCTGAGACCACGAAGACTCGATAAAGACCTGCTTAGGACTCACTAAACACCCACTAAACACTCACTAAAGACCCACTAAACACCCACTAAAGCCGGTCTGTATAACGGGGGCCAGAGTAGCTACGACGCTGAGTCGGCAGTGAACAAACAGAAGCTGCAGTTACAGATAACTGAGGTTTCTGTTGTAACACTGAAGCAGCTACATGTTCACAAACACATCGTCTACTAAACACCAAACCAGACTCACTACAGTTTCTACACTACAACACTTATCTGGGACGTTCACATGTGCAGTTTCTGCTCCGAACAAAGAGAACAGACTCCGTCAATACCTTTAACCACAACAGTCCAATAGGAGACTGTGTCTCTATAGAAAGTGCTGCAGTAAGCAGAAACCAGAACAAAAGAGCAGCTCAACGTGGCCCCCGTTACACAGAGTCGGGTTACCTCCTCACATGTTACACACTGTTTACCTTTGATGATTTCTGCACCTGGTCTCCGATGTAGATCTTCCTGAACTGCTCAAAGAAGCTGAGCATAGCCAGCTCCAGCCTCTCGTTGCCGGCCTGAGCGAGCCGAGAGTCAGTGAGGTTCATGAGCTGGAGCACCCTGAGTTGTGAACACAAACACACATATCATACCTGCAAACTCATGAGAGGTGAAAAAGGTGACAAGCCCGAAACCCTGTCGGGGGGTGCTCCTCCGAGAATTTTATTTTAAGTATGAGGTTTAAAATGTAGCATTCTGGTGTACTCTGAGAAAATTAAGTGATAAGACATTTACTTTATGCAAAAAACAAATTTATTATTCAGTTATTAATCACTATTTCAGCTCTATTATTAATATTAACCTGTATTTAGACAAAATCCATAGAGACCGAGGTCTTATTTTCAAAAGTTTTGGTCAAATAAAAACAAAGATAGCAAGAGTAGCGAGAAGCATCGCCTGTACAAATAGTGATTCGTTTTCATTGAGCCCTGTTACTGTATGGCTTCATATTAACTTCCACTGTTACTGTACAGCTGTTTTTGTTTTGTGGCCTATCTTCTATTTGCAATTAATATGCATTCAATCCAGTTCAATTATTTAAATGAAAATGATAATCTACTCTGGCTAAAGTAGCTTATCAAGAGTAAAATAATAGCTGTGATCTATACACACCTCTGCATTAGCAACCTGCTGAAATGAAGGTACAGGCTCCTTAACCCTCTCATTACTTCAGGGTTCTTGAGAGCAATGTGGGACTGTTGGGACTGTTGGTACACTGGCTGTGGTCATTACAGTGAACAGTGTGATGAGAGGTCATGTGCCTTGGAGCAGAGGCTGCATGTAGCATAGCCTGCCTTATCAATGTATTCAAAACACCGACAGCGAGAAGCTGTACTCACGTCTGTTTAGACCTCCACCTTTATCCAGGCCCAGCTCCACCTTTATCCAGGCCCAGCTCCACTCACATCTCAGCCCTGCATCAAGCTGCGCTACACAACCAGCCTCCTCTCCCTGAAGCTCTTTGACCTCATCACCTCATCAGTATCTGGGCCTCATGTTTCGTGGTCATGAAAGTTATTCTGACCACGAAATCATCCTCATTCTACTTTGAGTTAAAAAAAAAAACAACCTGCAACCAGATGCGCCGGTGTTTGGGTTTAACGTTAATGAGTGTCCGCGTGAACTGAACCGGAACACGGGGGGGCTTCATGTTTCATCAAGTTACGTTTTTTCCTCCTAAATCGTGATAATGACGAACGTTAACAGTCGACAAAGTTTTGCATGCAGTGGACGTTAACTTAACACAGCAAGTCTGAACGGTAACGGAAAATAACGTAACTTAAACTGTAACGGAGGGAAATGAAGAAGCTGTAGACATCTGAACGCTGATTGGCCAAGACTCGACACATCAAAGATGTTCTATTGCGAAGATCACGATATCACATTTTCTCCTCGTCTCACTCCAATCTGAGAAATGCTGGCTGGCCAGCTGGCCAGTTGACCGCCCCCCAAAAAAAAACTCTATGGATCTACACGATTCACGTGGATGATATATTTTTGATTCAAAACGGTGAATTTCACCAAAAAGTGACAAGTTTGCAGGTATGCATATGTTATCAGTGTTTACATCACAGCATACCAGAGTGCTGGAAAAAGTGGTTCACAAGCTGCTTCATCAGCTCATTAATTATTGAAGTCTGGTTCGTATTTTCCTGGCAGGTTTCAGGAAATCAAGACAGACTAATTTATGCAGAAATCAATGTGGCGTCCCACAGGGGAGCGTTCTTGGCCCCTTAATGTTTGACCTGCCAAGTGTTTCTGGTGAAAAAGTGCATTTCTATGCTGGCGACTTGGACATTTTATTATATAATGTTCTCATATATTTTGAGAACACATTTAAATCTCAATATGGAATTCAATAAGATCAATAACTGACCTGTAGGCAACTTATTTCAACCCTTCATATGACTTATAAACGTATAAAATGTATTTAGCTTGTTTAGATAAACTCAAGCTGATGTCTTCAAATTGCTTATTTTGTCTAACTTAACATAAAACCCTAAAATAATCAGTCCTCAAAGGTGAGAACATAAACAGAAGGAATGCTGGGTAATTTTGATCAAAATAGTTGCAGATTACTTTTCTGTCCACGAAAATAAAGACGTTTTATGGCTAAATGAGAAATTAAAGGCTGATCCCGTCAGATTGCTGTCGCAGCATTTTACAGTATTTTCCATTTTTCCCAAACTAAATATATAAACAGATAAACAGTTTGTTTTTCTTGCATTATTTCCTCTAATCGAGATGTTTCCCTGAGTTCTTACCGACAGACTAACTCTCCATCCATGGCGTCCTGCTCGTCTGTGCTGGCGAACGACACCCGTCCACCGATCACGGCCCCGATAATGTAAACGAGCCACGTCAACCGACCTGCAGAGGAAACGATGGAGAGACAACATCAGCTTCTTTATTTTAATAGTCAAGGAACCACATCGAACGTTTCATACCCGAGAAGATTATTAACAAAATGTGCTACAGAGCTAAAAAGCATGTTTATCGTTACAAAGAGCTGCTGGGAAACGGTTTTAATGTCAAACAATAAAACAAAAT